TCCTGCCGGAGCCGCCGAGGGGCTGAGGCTCGGCACCGGCACCGACACCGGCACCATGATCAACCCCAACTACTACCCGTGGGGCTACGACGGCGACAACGGTGAGCGGGGCCCGGCAGAACGGGCGTGAGGAGCGGGAGCGGGAGAAGAACAGGCGAAGCTGGTGGAAGGAGAGACCGGGGCAGAGGTCTCCAAATCCAATACATCCAGTTGGCTATGTGTAATGGAATTTAAAGTTTGTCGTGGCTTTAAAATCTAGGTTCGGGCTTAGTCTCGGCGCAGGAAGCACGGTGCCCGATGTGCCTGTGCTCTCCTCGGCACCAGGAGGGACAGGCAGCACGGCCTCGGCCGGGCTTTTCCCACACAGAGTTCTTGGTAAAACCATGAAGGTAATTTTGTTTTTAATTCCTGTCTTCTTCAGTTATCAGTAGCCTTGTCTCTCTTCAGATGAGTACCTGGTACCACATCTGCATCATTTGGGTAGATCCCATCCTATTTTTAGCCACTGCTGGACTTGGAGTGTTCATCTTCATTTTCATTCCTTGGTGTATTGTCAGTCTCCTAATATGCAAGGTCTGGAGGTTGCTATGAGAGCTTAGGTTCAATTGAATGACTTGCAGTATGCAGCATTCCAGCTAGAATGATCTAACTGCTTTTTTATACAATGAATCCCTTGACAGGGCATGACTTAACAACCAGGCAATTAGTAACCTGCTCATTAATGCATTTATTTGAAGTTCTGTAACCAAGCAAAACCAATCTTGCATTTATTGTAACATGAGTATAATTTATACCTAGCTGGAAAATGCTTTCGTGATATTTCTCTTTGTTTTTTTTTTTTTTTTTTCTAGGACCAGATCAGTGGCACAAGAATTACCCGATTGCCAAAGGACGCCATCAGTCACCTATTGAGATCAATAACAAAGACGTGCATTACGACCGCTCCCTACTGCCCTGGTTTGCCAGTTATGATCCTGGTGCAGCCAAGACCATCCTCAATAATGGGAAAACCTGCAGAGTGGTATTTGACGATTCATTTGATAGATCAGGTTAGTTCTGCTTTCATCTCAAGCTGTTATTACATATCAGTGACTATTTTTCAAGTTGCTTTGAAAGACAGAGTGTGCTCTGAATGCTCATGGCTGTCAGAAGGTCTCTGTGTACTGCCTGCATGTGATGTACCAGTGTCTGTGACTGCACAACAGTGTGCTCTGCACAACTGGTAGGAAAGGTCTGGGACTGCTTTCAAAGTCCATAAGTAAAATCCAAGGGAATGGAGAGGGCTGCAAAGAAGATTGGAGCAGGATGAGTTAAGGTGTAAAATAAATTTCTGAGCTTGCAAAAGCCATTGCTTTAGTGATGCTTTCCAGGCTTTACCTATGAGGACTGACTTCAATTCAGGCTATTTGAGATGCCCAGCAGAACATCTTTTAACTGTGTCTGTGGATGAAGTTACAATATTTGAAAACTGTACCCATGTAATTGCTTATAAATGAAGTAATGAACCAGATGTTGCCACAAAGTCATGGTATTTAATCAGTTAAAACTCCCTCTTGCATTCATGAGATTTTTGTCTTAATGAGGATTATAGGGCTAGGAAACTCCAGTGTTTCACCATTAATGTCCAAAATCTTTTACCCACTTGTTGTTATAACAACATACAGCATGCTGCACATATAAGGCATACTTTTTAAGAGTTACTGGTTCATTTATTTTGAAGAGATATGTCTGTTCTATTCAGCAGGTGCTAGAAATAGTTTATGTTGGCAGAACCACTGGCATTTCATGTTAATACTGTTGGCTATATTTCAAAGGAAAAAGCATTACTGAAGGCAGTATGAAATTACATTAGTACTGTGATAAAAAGGATAAATCAAGTGCATACCTCTTTATTGTTGTGTCAAGGTCAAAGAATTGTGGTATTATTTGTAGCACATGGGACTGTAAGAAAAGGAAGAAGAAATGTCAATTTCAGTAAAATATTGAAAAGTCTGTCTTCCACAGTGCCTTCCATTATTTCTTAACTGCATTAAAAGTTCAAATTTTGATTACAAGTAGGATTGACAGCTATAATTGCTATGAGGAATGTTACTAATAGGTTGATTGATCTTAAATACCTATGGGCATGGATTTAATTTCATGGATTTTTAATTAATGGCTTGGGTGTCATGAAAACTGAAGATCAAAACTTATGAAAGCTGGACTAGTGAATGCACTATCAAAATTCCCAAAAGACTATGCAGTTGAGAGTTTGATTACTTTGCTAGGAAAATGGTAATCTGTAATATTATTGTAATGTCAGATAACACAGTACTTCAGTAAAGAGATGAAGCTGTGGCATATGAAAAGACTTCCATGGCCATTACTTACATTTTTACCATTTCTTGTGTTTGTTGGAACTGTGTCAAATATATCAGTGGTAGCATCTTCTGCATAATTGCTCAGATTTTACGCGGGACGGGGTATCCAGGCACAGCAATCTACAGCATGGCTGCAACACTGTGGCCACAAAGAGTAGAAAGTTTTAGAATGTTTTGAGGTTTTTTGCAGATGAACGGCTTAGTGACTGTTGTGTTCTGCTATCAGAAATAAAAAGTGACTCACTGGAAAAAAAAGTAGGTGTATTTCTCAACTCTTTGAAGGCAAGAAACATTCAGTGTTTATTATGTCTCCTTTGTTATACCGTCAGCAGAGTCTGTGGGTGGTGTTCCTTCTCTAGTACAACACTAATTGCAGGACAAATTCCACTGTGCACGTTTTAAGTTTTTTTAGGATATGTATAGTGACTTATTTTTTGTGTAAAGGAACCACCAGCTGCATAATACATACATCTGTAATAAATCATGTAGGAATTAAGCTTTTATTCCTTTGGAACAAAGCACTGTCTCTCTCGCATTTCTGAGTTAACTGGAAAACTAAGGTCTTCCTTTATTTTCCTAACTTTTTCAGTTAGAGTGGTTAACATCTGTAGTTCTATCTATTTCCACTAGTGGCAGGTGAAATAATTTGTTGAATAAATTGCAAAGGTGAGTAAGAAATCATCTTTGGATGTCTCCAGGTTTTACTTCCATTGTGTCTTCTCTCCCAGGAATACTTTGAATGTTCACCATTTGGACAGTTGCTTAAACTCAGATGATTAGAGAAAAACTTCCAGGGAAAGTGCCATCCAGTGTAATTCACATATTGTGTTGCAAAAGGCCTTATTACCTTTATCTGTGTACTTAGTCTAGTGAAAGGACTTAGTGAATGTGTATCCACCAATTTATAAAGTCTGTTTGACTTTAAGAATCTGCTATGGAATTGAAAGCTTTGATGGCAGGTCTTTGCTTCTGGAGCTGTGTCATGCCTCTGCTCCCTGTCTGTACAAGCTTAATGGGTAGTTCAGTTGCCTGTCTCACCATACTTATGGGAAGGAAGGACCTTAAGTGCTGTAAAACCATTGCAGGTGGAGGCTGGAGTCTCAAAATCCAGGAAAGAACTGAGAGCTGAAATCAAAACCTCCTAGGTGGCTTCAAAAATACTCATGCCAGAGGAGTGTCCCGAGAGCACCTAACTGCTGGGACTGTTGTCATGGTGCTGGGTGAGATACATAGCTTGTAACTTCCCTGCAGTTAATGGCTCTGTGACTTTCTTTATAATACCTTGGTTAGGTGGTTAGACCAAGGTGTTGAATGGTTTAATAAACATTAGAGATACATAAATCTTGTATTGGAACCCAGACAAGGAAGCTGGGGAGACATGCATTAAGGTTATGTTGAGTGGATGCCTTTCATCTTCCCACTTTGTCTGTTTTTATCTCCTTGGCACCTTCTATGGAACTTCACCAGCCAGATCCCTACTTCTTTTACTGGATGTATGATACTTACGGGCTTGGAGTACCTTAGTGCAGGCACATTTTTTTACAAGGTTACCTTGATGCTGTTTGCTGAATTTGTCAATTTCTTATCAAAGGAATGTGTGCCTTTGGAACTGGATGATGGAAAAAAATGGAGACAGTTCCTCTAAGTAGTGAGAGCTTGTTGCCAATCGTTCTCTTTTAGCAGGACTGGTGTTTGTGGACAGCATTTCCTAGAGTACCACTTTGTGGGAAATCTCAGTTATCTTGGCAAATTTGATTATCAGCTTCTGCTGAATGAACATTTATCTGTTGACTGGCTCTGAAACAAGGAGCACAAACCCCAGCAACTTTCATTAAACCTGGGGAAAGTGACACTTTCATTTTGCTCTGTAAACCAACAGTGAGATACAGAGTTCTTCCTCGCCTTAGTTCTGTGCAACACTTGCTCTCTCTGGGGCAAACATCTGCTGCAGTGGTTCCATGGAGAGTGGAAAAAAGCCATTCTTTTGTTAGCCAGTCCTGCCTCCTGCTACTCAGTCTGTGATGGATCACGTAAAAGGTGAGCTGCTTCACTGAAACTGATGTCCACATGCACGTCCACGGAGGGTCTCTGTAACAGACCAGTTGTCAGTGTGGATGGAAAGGGACGTGGAATTTGAGCAAGGGCTTCCGACTGAGGTGATGCTTTTATGTCTGGTACCTGTCACTGATGGAGGATGATGTGCAAAGCCATATAAAATGAGTCAGTCACTGAGAAATGGGACAAGAGTTTGCAACAAAAAGGCACTGCTAAGCAGTGAGTGTTTTTCTCCGTTGTCTTCCTGGGTTGGTTTGTGTATTCCTGCTGCTGTTACTTCAATGACAGAGAGTTTGAGGGACTTACATTTTGTTAAGTCTGCTGTCCCCATCCTGTTAGTTCCTGTAGAACTGTTACATATACTTTGTTTTTATATATTAAATGTTTCTATTTTAATACCATTGAAAAACAATTAAAAGACACCATGTTTTCTTTCATAAACTTGTACATCTGTTCTTCTTCTGTTACATGAGTGTGTATTTATTTGCGTTAGTATTTTCTGAAAACAAAAACCCAAGAGCATAAAGTTACCTTTAGGATTTAGGTTCCAAATCACATGTTTAACAAAAAGATTTATTTTACTCACTTTGAGCTATGTAGACATAGTTTCAGAGTTTTTGGTTTAGATATTGGAGAACTTAATTTTTCTGGGTTTTACCTTACCTGTCTTAAAGCACAGGAAAATTTAATTTACTGACATAGGAAAGTATTATTTACTTTGTCATGTCGTGTATTTCTGTCCTTTATACTATGTACTTGCAATTATATGAAAGAAAACATCTTTTTGTCTTTCAGAAGATGTTGGTTTATAGGCATCTGTCTTTGCATCATCCTGTCTGCTTGAAGTGTGCTAAGTAAAAGCTACTGTCTATTTATAATGAGTGAAGCAGGAGTGTGTTAGCATGAGATTATGCACAGCTTCACCTAATGCCCAATCAGAAATGTCTACTGATGACCCATCAGTGGAAATAATGACACATTTTTACCTGAAACTGGATTATTTGGTTTTACAGGTCTATTTTAATGGAGAATTGATGGCTTTGTCAGATACTGCTTTTACTGTGTCTGCATCAGCCATAGTACTGGATGTCTGTGTGAACAAACAGAAGAAATTTGTTGAGAATAACAGTTTGTTCTTAATATTCAGTAAAGAATACTCTTAGTACTTTATTTCTTGAGATGATCATGGATTTAATTTCATTTCAGATTGAAGGATATCTTTCTCTAGTATATAAAGACCTTGGGCCTCAGAAGTGCTGAATGGTTTACAAGAATACTATAGCTTCTGTCTCCAAATAAAGTGAATGATAATTGAATATCAAATAGTATTTTATGGAGGAGTTTTCCCCTTTTTATTGTGACACCCTTTCAAATACACCACCTTCATTTGGTATATAATGTAAAAACGTTAAGGTTATTCAGAATACAGAGTATTATTGTTCATCACAGACTGAACTTTTGTTTAGGAAAATAGCTTGCATCCTCAGTGATTGCTTTTCTGGCTCATTTGCTGTTTCCCTTCTCTTGCACAGCTGGAGGGAGCCGTGATTATAGCAGAAGCAGCATCAGTAATTCCATAGCTTTTTAAACAAATAAGTCATAGCCTGCAGTAAGAGACACAACATGTAGTGTTTTGTGGGAATCTACCACTTCAGTAGTTGATCTTAATCATGACTGTTCTGTGTACATTGATATAGGTGGATATTAGGTGGAATTCAGGGGGAGATTAAGACATCTAAATTTAGGTGTCTGATGTGGGTTTTTAAATGTAGGTAGGTTATGTCTCTAAACTCCCATTCTAGTCAACACAGATGGTGTCACACTTAATCAAAGGAGTCCAGAGAGCAATTCAGGTCACTGTCCGTTGAGTGTCTGCCTCAAAGCAAACAGAATTATTCTAGAGGCTTCACTGTTCTGATTTGGGGCTTATTTCAGTTCCTTGCCTCCAGATACTGCTTTAGAAAAGTACAGTTCTTCTACAGGTCTTGTATCATATCTTCCAGTCCTGTCCAAGTGTCTTTGGAATACCCCAGAAGGAACTAGATGAACGTTTATGCAGCTGAATTAAAACAATGATCTCTGTTGACTCTAACAGAAGCCGAGACACAAATAGCTTCCATCTGTCCGTGAATGCGTGTGGCTGAGGGTGTTTGCCTGGGGTGCTGCTAAGGACAGGGCAGATATGCCAGAGGTACTCAGTGGTCTCAGAATGCAGAGTGTCCACGCAGTAAATGTGTGTGTAAATAGTTGTGATGTGTATATATTTAGCTTAGGGGGAGTGGGAGGTGGTTGAGTCTAATGGTGTTGCAGACTGTCCCTGCAGTGCTGAGGGGTGGGCCGCTGCCGGGAGTCTACCGCCTGCGCCAGCTGCACTTCCACTGGGGCTCCTCCGACGACCACGGCTCCGAGCACGTGGTGAATGGAGTCAGATACGCAGGAGAGGTAACGCTCGCCACTTTTTGCTGTGAAATAGAGTGTAAAGTAATTTTTAGCGTTATCTTTCAGATGGGGTGTTGGTCTGCTTTTTGAGGAGTTCTGTTTAGTGATCTGTGACATTCTTACTCCTGTCGATTTTTTCAAGTGTCAATCAGGTTGAAGTAATTCTCGCAGCATAAGAAAAGAAAAATCTATGTGAAACAAAATTTTCCATGTTCTCAAACCAGCGTGGCTTGAAACATAGGACAGCAAGAGCTACATTACTGAGAAGCAATGCAAACTTACTAGAACAGTATTCTGAAAGTATAGTGGTATTGCAGAAGTGTAAAATTGTATCAACAGAAAGGGGGAAGAATGTGTTACCTTGACTTTCTGCCACTTAAAGAATTGTAAGAGAATATGAGAACTGTAGACTAATACAGAGCTTACATTCATATGGGTTCTCTGCTAGAATTGCTGGAGTTTGAAGGAGAAATGGAAATGAATCACTTATGAGCAGATGACTTCTGAACTGCACGTTCTACCTGCTTACTTAAGCATCTTTTTGGTGTTCAGCTTTAAGATGGCATTTCTATTCTGGTTTTCAATTTCTGTAGTAAGATGTTCATAGTTTATCTTAAAGCAAATAGTAGTCTAAATGGTAATATATGGCAGCTACATGTCATATATGAATTGCTGTCCCTTTTCTTCCTTCTTTTTTGGGAGGCCTATTCCTCATTCTTTGTTGCCCCAAACTCTCTTGTATATGCAGAACTCTAAATTCAGCCTCTGATGTCTTGCTATTCAATAATATATTTTTTTTCATCCTTTTTCTCTGTTTCTAGCTACACTTGTTACACTGGAATCCCAAATACAGTAATTACCTTGATGCTGTGAGAAGAACTGATGGAATAGCTGTTTTGGCCATATTTTTGCAAGTAAGTAGAAGCGTGCAAACTTTCTTCATACTGCTACTATAGAGTTTTCTACTCAGGGTTAAACCAATACCCTATGAATATATTTTCTGGGGATCATACCACAATGAAGGGCTTGACTTTGAGTAATGTATGCTTTTCAACTTATGGAGCATAAGTCATGTTATTTCAGATGGTATCCAATACTACACACTGTCTCTGTGTGGCTGGTGGAAGCTGTAAATCCAGATGTATTTGCCTCTGCTTTGAGAACACGATGCCACTAGTGGCCCTTTGGCGAGTAGCACTAAAAATAGCTGTATTGTGAGCTTACCTGTGGTGCTGGGTTTCTGTACTGGTACAGTTTCCTCATTTGGATCATAATATCTGTTAGGGTACAGACAGAGGGTACAGACAGCAGACATAACTTACTGAGCTCATAGGTGTGATAGGTTGTGTTAATGTGTTGTAAGTTTATTGTTGATATATGGTTAGATGCACATATTAAAAAAACAGGAGGAAGAAGAAACCTGATTGAGGAGAACAATTTGGTTAGCTCATGCTTCCTTCTTCACAGGTAGGGAAAACTCCCAAACCAGAGATGAAGAGAATTCTTGAAGAAATAAATGCTATCAAAACAAAGGTAATGACATTGGCCTTTTAATTACAGGAAGATTGTTGCAAATTCTCAGGACAAAAATATCAAGAGGTGTGACTTTCTAGTTTCCAAATTTTGCTCTGCAACATTGCCAGAACATACTTGTAAATAAAACCATGGGTAGCTTTTCCTTAGCAAGAAAAGACCTGTCTTACATTTACATATGAGCCTTCTTTGATGGGCCTTCCACATTTGTGAAAATGAGTTACCTCACCAAACTTCATGCATCTCAAAACTATACATTTTTGGAAATTGGTCCATTCAGTCTTGAAATAGGCTGCCTAATGGACCTCTGGAAATGCTACTGACTAGACATCTGTGTCTCAGAAAACATCATGTGATAAGAGTCTCTTATTCCATAAGTTGTCTTGTTTGTTATTAGCACAAATACTATAAATACTATAAACCTAATGTACCTGTCTCACTTCATTGCCTGGAGTTGGATGTTGTGTCATGCTTCTCTGGACCCTTCTGTGCGGGTCATGCAGTCCACTTCTCTTCACAGCGTATGGTTGTTTTGTGTAGATGTGTGCTTAGCTTCCTTCATTGGCACCTCTGAAGTGTGAGTCACTCTCTGTTTCTTAAAGTACCAGAGACGTGTCTTTAGCTAATCTTGACTAGAGCTGTAGAAGAGTTTTCTCTTTGTTTTTGTTGTACGTTGTTTTAAAGGGGAAGGAAGCTCCTTTTCAGAACTTCGATCCTTCAGTTCTTTTCCCTGAATCTCATGACTACTGGACATACCACGGGTCCTTCACTACTCCGCCTTGCGAAGAGTGCATCACATGGATTATTCTTAGAGAGCCTATCATAGTCAGCTCAGACCAGGTAAACTTCAAATAAATAATATTGTATCCACTTCTTTTGAGTTACATGCCATAACCTGATCTTACTCTTTTGACAAGGAAAATGCTTATTGGATTCTGTGAGAAACTGCATGACTAAATGGGCAGTGAAGAATTGAATGCTTTAGAAACTGCCTTGGGACTCCATAGGGAACCTGCAAAAATCGTCAAAAGGAGTGAAAGGACTGCACTCTACAGCCTGATATGTGCAGTCTGCCTATTAGACACATCTCTTTAGCTGTCTCTCTATGACTCCTACATGAACTGATTGGGCAGAGATGATGACCTTCCCTGCTTGGAACAGCTTATTGTTTCCTAGCCCATATCAGTCATCATGGTGGTTTAAATCCACTGACGTTAAAGGCCTCTGTGAATCACTAAAATCATAACACAGTGTAGGTAAGATCTTATAGCAGTTGGACTGTGACTGACAGCAAGCAGTAGTCACTATATATTGAGAGTTCTGGCTCCCATGGGCAAGAGACCTCTTGTGACATCAGCTAAAGGAAAGAGTAGTTCTTTTTGTTTCCCAGTCCCTGTGTTCCCACGATACTAACTTTCGGTAGGAGGAAAGGATGGAGCTGGATGTGGCTTGTATCTTTTATTTTAATTAGAGCTCAAAACACTGCATTACACGAAGAGCCCATGTAGGAAAGCTCGTAGGGTTTCTCAGCTTGTATTCTCCTGCAACCATTTATATCAAAACATTGACACATTTAGCTAAAGCTTGTGTTAGGTGTGCACCAACAACTTTGATTAAGCAGGATTTTTTCAACCATTTATACTGTCTCAAGCTTCCTCATGTAAAGTGTTCATTGCTTATCAGGGTGAATATTTGAGGTTAACCATAGGACAAGTTATGAAATAAAGCTGCTGTGAAAAGTGACCATCTGCAGTGAAGTGCAGTGGGTCAGGTGCCCCAACTGCATTGCACGCTGACTGAAGCAGGAGTCCCATGTTTGCCTCTAATGCAGCTAAGCACTTCCAGCTTTTTGAACATTCTTCTTCACAAAAACGTCTTTTATAGCATGCTTCTTTCAAAAACATCTTTTGTCAGCATATGAATATCATGAAGAAGTATTTCTTGTTCATCCTTATTTCTCCTCAGTCCCATTTATAGGAATTCTAATGTCCCTTTCACCACGCTGCAGCCTATGATGCTACTCATAGCACACAAGTCAGTTTTCTCATCTGAGATTATTCCTTTGCTGTAATGATACAGTATCACAAATCTGAAGACTCCAGGATAGTGAGAACATGAACATTAATTAAGTGGTTGGCATATTATATAGATATTTTATGCAGACAGATGACTCTTCATTTTAGGTTTTCAAAGTGGTAAGGTGTTTCATTGTATTGATTGATGTGCATGTATCAGAGAAATAATCTTCTAGTGCTTTGTATTTGTGTAGCTCTTCATCTTTTATAGAATAGGATCAAGTATGATGAGAACCTTAGCTGGCAAGAGTTGCAATATGGTAATGTATTCCTATAATTGACAGCTTGATTTTGATAGCTTATTGACTAGATCTGCTTCCTGTTTCATTGCCCATCTGAAAACTTAAATGTGTCCTACTTTGAATCTGATACTTTTGTGAAAACTACAAATATGGTCTGACTGGTTTCCACAAAATAAATCTGCTTAGAAGCTTGTATTATGGAAGATCAGCTACAGATTTTGTTGGGAAAAGTATAGCTGTTACTGAGCTTCTCTGATTTAAAATGTGTTATTAAATCAAAAACTAATCACATCACTGATCCAGCTTCATGAAAAGAAATTCTGATCACTGCTGTATTCGGGTCGTGGCCTCTTTTTCAGCTTATCTAAAGTTACTGAATTTTGGGAAACATACAGGCTGTACTTTAACTGGCCCTACTGCAGGAAAAAAATGAGCATTTAAGGTAAAAAAGGAATTGCCACACATAGATGGGATGTGGGCTTATGGGCTGAGGTGACCACTTGTCGGGCAGAATTGGGAGTGCACGTGAGGCACTGTGTACAAATACAGTAGGAAGACTTCCCTCACTCCAGGGTGGCTGCAGTCTCGTTAACGTATTCATAAAAGAGGATTATGTTACCAATTATTTCTAGTCCTAGAAAGTATACCACTATGGCACCCTCGTTAATAGTAATTATTTTAAATGTGTGTGCATTCATAGTGAATCACTTGGATGGTTTTGGAGCCAGATGGTAATAGTAAATTAGCCACAAGGGTAAGTGCAGTCGCTGCAAATCAGTGCTCTGCAGGAAAACACCAGAAATCTGTGTGAGACATAGAGTGGGTGGCCTGGCTGCTCGGATTACTTTTAATGAAGGGTTTGGAATTTAACAGTGGAATTACTTTATCCAGCTGCAGACTAATTTTTTTACCTTTATGCAGCTACAGCCTGAATATATGCTTTTTTTTTTTAACTTAGTAGGGCAGATCTTCCACAAACAATAATAATAAAGCCCAGCAATCTCTTCTCCAATACTACTTTGTTAGTATTAACAAAGCTAAAGTGCCATTTTCATCTTCCTACTGTTCCCATACAAATCATTTATCTGAAATTAAGTTTCAGATGAATAGTCCAGCTGATGCATGTTATACTGGTTATAAAGGTGACCTCATTGTTCAGGCAGACTGGGATAGCTGGCTTTTCTGAGCTGGGCAGTGAAGAGCAACGCTGAGATGCTGGAACTAGCTCAGCTCATAAACTGAAATTGGTGTAGTCACAGTGAATCAAGGTTTTACAGCCCAGACAGAAGTTTTGCTTTTATGTGACTTGAAGTCTGTACCATAAAAGGTAGATACACCAACATATTGAGCTAATTGTGAAGAAAAAAATTGATGTGTGCCATGCATGAGGCCTGGAAAATGTGGGAAATGTGTGCATCCTTTTCATGGCAAGCCACTCAAACAGGGAAGGGTGTCTGGATCACAGCTGATACATCTCCTGCATCATGTTGTACATGGCAGTGACAACAAAAGAGCTTAATGTATTGTAAATGGGTATGCTCATTGCATCCTTTGACAACCAGAAAGCAGTAGAGAAAGTGTTATACAGTTTTGAAGAGTATAGTAGAACTCTTCTTATGGTATCCCTCAAAATCCCCATACTGTGGTTTAAAAAAAAAAATGGCCAAGGAGAGTCAAGCTGCAAGACTGTGTTTGCAAACCGTTGGAAACCTTGACCAAGTCATCATCTGGATTTACATTCCTGTTATTAATAGTGGACTGTTTTGTGTCACTGCAGCATGTCCCGGTTAGAAGGCAGAATTGTGTCCCACATCCCTTATCCCTCAGTTTCCCAGGTAGAGAGGTAAATAAGGAAGGCAGGGATAATGAAAACCTTGCACCAAATTGAAAATTAACAAAATAAAATATATTATTTAACAGGGAACAGAACGAAAGAAGGGTAGGGGTTTAAACAGGGTACAGAAAGGAAAAAGGGTAGGGGTTTAACCGGGTAAGGGGGGTTATAGGAACAACAAGGCAAGGAAGATTAAACATCCAAATATACAAAACCCAAATGTTGTGCTGAGGCTCCCCAGTGCTGGATCTCGCTGGATTGAGATGGATTGAAGCTGGATATACAATCCTTGGACGTGGATGGAGGCAGGGAAGAGGCTGTAGATCAGGCCCAGGGCTC